CATCTGAACATTTATTTATTTATTATTTGGACTTCTATGCCTCCACTCCCCTGGGGCTCGGAGCGGCTTACAAGAATGGCTAAAATCTAACAAAATTTAAAAGCAATTTAAAACAATTTAAAAAGGAAGAACTTCCTGATACTGAGAGCCGTTCAGCAGTGGAACTCTCTGCCCCAGGGTGTGGTAGAGGCTCCTTCTTTGGAAGCTTTTAAACAGAGGCTGGATGGCCATCTGTCAGGGGTACTTTGAATGCAATTTTCCTGCTTCTTGGCAGGATGGGGTTGGACTGGATGGCCCATGAGGTCTCTTCCAACTCTTTGATTCTAGGATTCTATAATAAATCGGCACCTGGACCAGCTGCAGAAATCCACCACGCCCCGCAGCAGAGAGTTCCACTGCTGAACAGCTCCCACAGTCAGGAAGTTCTTCCTAATGTTCAGATGGAATCTCCTCTCTTGTAGTTTGAAGCCATAGTTCCATTGCGTCCTAGTCTCCAGGGCAGCAGAAAGGAAGCTTGCTTCCTCCTCCCTAGGATGACTTACCCTCACGTATTTATCCATGATCTTCATCATGTCTCCTCTCAACCTTCTCTTCTTCAGGCTAAACATGTCCAGTTCTCTAAGCCACTCAAGGACACGATATTCCAGGTGTGGTCTAACCAAGGCATGGGTAGCATGACTTCCCTGGATCTAGAGCAGGGATCCTCCAAACTTATTAAACAGAGGGCCAGGTCACAGTCCCTCAAACTATTGGAGGGCCGGATTATAATTTGAAAAAAAAAAACATGAATGAATTCCTATGCACACTGGACATTCCACAGATATATAAACCCCATTTTCCTAGTTTCCAACAGACCTCACAACCTCTGAGGATGCCTGCCATAGATGAAGAATGTTCTATCCAAGGGTTGTCTTTAAGTGTGGATGTAAGCTGCCTTGGGCCCTACACCGAGACAAAAGCAGGCTATAAATAAAACAATTATATATTTCTTCAGTTAAAAATGTACTAGCTGTTCCCTGCCAGGCGTTGCTGTAGCCCAGTCTGTTGATCTGGAAAATAAAGTAATGAGAAAGTGTTGGTTTCTAACATGTAATTTCTTTCTGCTTGTGGGTAAAGAGTATTTCTTGCTGTTTCTTTGTCAGTGTTGATGTGGAGATTGTCTGGTTTGCCTACCCTGGAACATGCAACATATCACTGTCCTCCTTTAAGAGTCCCTTTCAAATCTATGATACTATATCTCTGTGTGAATCATATCTCTATCTATCTATCTATCTATGGCTGGATGGCTCTTTGTCAGGAGGACTTTGATTACGTTTTCTTGCCCTGATGAAGGGAGTTGGATTGGATGGCCTTAAGTATTTTCTGTTGGTCAGGGGGGTTCTGTGTGGGAAGTTTGCCCCGATTCTGTCGTTTGTGGGGTTCAGAATGCTCTTTGATTGTAGATGAACTGTGAATCCCAGTGACTACAACTCCCAAATGTCAAGGTCTATTTCCCCCAAACTCCATCTGTGTTCATATTTGGGCATACTGAGTATTCGTGCCAAGTTTGGTCCAGATCCATCATTGTTTGAGTCCACAGTGCTCTCTGGATGTAGGTGAACTACAACTCCCAAACTCAAGGTCAATGGCCACCAAACCCTTCCACTATTTTCTGTTGGTCATTGGAGAATTGTGTGCCAAGTTTGGTTCAATTCCATCGTTGGTGGGGTTCAGAATGCTCTTTGATTGTAGGTGAACTATAAATCCCAGCAAGTACAACTCCCAAATGATAAAATCATAATTTTTGAGTGATGGCCACTCCTCGTGTTGTGAGACGTTTTGTTGCCAAATTTGGTGTGATTTCGTTTATTGGTTCTTTTGTTTTTAAGGTACTCATTATGCACAGAGCATTTATATATATATATATATATATATAGATTTGGTAATGGTTGTGAAAATCGAGTGGAAATGGGAAGAGAGCTGGAGGAATTTTCTGCTTGAGAAGCAGTTGCACCCTTCATTTCAGATCCTGCATCCAGATGGGGGTTGGCTTAGATGACCTCTGAAGCCTCCTCCAATCTATATTCGTAAAGACAGAATGCTTACATCAGGGCGTTCCTGCCACAACACATCAGAGGGCTGCAAACCTATACTCTCATGACGCTATTATAGAGTACGTTTGTACAGCACTTAAGGCTGATCCTTGGTGACAGCTCTGGATCTGGTGGGGAGCATTGGCTTCAAGTCCCAGGGAGTACAATTGTCTTTGTATATATTCTGTGACAAGATCTCTCCCTTTTCCCCAATTATACACAGTGGTAAAGCTTTTAGCACAGCATTTCGGTGACCTCTTATCTCGCCTTAACTTGTCAAGAAAGGGTTCTGAATGTGTACATCTTTGAATGGGCAAAGTCTCTTTCGTGTTCATCAGGACTTCCAATTGGTGGAAGGAAATAAAGGCTATTATAGTATCAAAAATCACCATAAGTATGATAAGTATCCATATAACCCTTCCACACAGCCATATAACTCAGAATATCAAGGCAGAAATCCCACAATATCTGCTTTGAACTGGGTTATTCAAGTCCACACTGCCATATAGTCCAGTTCAAAGCAGATATTGTGGGATTTTCTCCTTTGATATTCTGGGGCCTTTTCCACACAGCTGAATAAAACCCCACATTATCTTCTTTGAACTGCTTTGAATATATGGCAATGTGGACTCATAAAGATATAGAGAAGCATTTATCAATCTGGGGGGTCTGAACCCCTCGGGGGGTTATAAGGGAGTGTCAGATGGGTCACCAAAGACCATCAGAAAACACAATATTTTCTTTTGGTTATGGGGGTTGTGTGTGGGAAGTTTGGCCCAATTCTATCGTTGGTGGGGTTCAGAATGGTCTTTGATTATAGGTGAACTATAAATCCCAGCAACTACAACTCCCAACTGTCAAGGTCTATTTTCCCCAAACTCCACCAGTGTTCACATTTGGGCATATTGAGTATTCGGGCAAAGTTTGGTTGAGTCCACAGTGCTTGAGTCCACAGTGCTGTCTGGATGTAGGTGAACTACGACTCCCAAACTCAAGGTGAATGCCCACCAAACCTTTCCAGTATTTTCTGTTGATCATGGGAGTTCTGTGTGCCAAGTTTGGTTCAGTTTCATCATTGGTTGAGTTCAGAATGCTCTTTGATTGTAGGTGAACTATAAATCCCAGCAACTACAACTCCCAAATGACAAAATCAGTCCCCACCCTAACCTCACTAGTATTGAAATTTGGGCATATGGGGTATTTGAGCCAAATTTGGTCCAGTGAATGAAAATACAGCCTGCATATCAGATATTTACATTTTTTTATTTATTTATGACATTTATATCCCGCCCTTCTCACCCTGAAGGGGACTCAGAGCGGCTTACAATATATATATATCCATAGAATACATTATATTATTAGCATAGTACAATATCAGTATTGTATATTACTGTATTATACTATACCATTATATTGTAATATTATTAGTAATATTACATGTAATATAAAATATATAATTACAATATATTATTAGTATTAGTATTATATTGTATTACATTATAATATTACAAATGTTATATGTATCTACAATATAGTATATTACATTATATTATATTATATTACATTACGATTCCTAACAGTAGCTAAATGACAGTTATGAACTAGCAGCGAAAATAATGTTATGGTTAGGGGTCACCACAACACGAGGAATTGTATTAGGGAAGTCCCTGCACTGGCAATCTTTAGGAGGAACCTGAAAACCTGGTTATTCCAATGTGCCTTCAATGACTGAATGTAATTGAAGGCACATTTGCATAAAATGACCTCAGAAGCACTTTATCATATGGTTCGTGCAATTTTTTTACATTGTCCTACCTCCCAATGTTTTAAAATTTTACCTTTGAACTAGCTGTCCTTCCATGCGTTGCTGTGGCCCACATGGGGGTCTGGGTGGGACGTTTGGCCCAATTCTATCGTTGGTGGGGTTCAGAATGCTCTGTGATTGTAAGTGAACTACAAATCTCAGCAACTACAACTCCCAAATGTCAAGATTCTATTTCCCCCAAACTCCACCAGTGTTCACATTTGGGCATATTGAGTCTTCGTGTAGAGTTTGGTCCAGATCCATCATTGTTTGAGTCCACGGTGCTCTCTGGATGTAGGTGAACTACAACTCCAAAACCAAAGGCCCACCAAATGCTTCCAGTATTTTCTGTTGGAGAAACTGTGTGCTAAGTTTGGTTCATTTCCATCGTTGGTGGGGTTCAGAAGGCTCTTTGATTGTAGGTGAACTATAAATCCCAGCAACTACAACTCCCAAATGACAAAACCATTTTTTTTGAGTGAAGGACATAAATTGGGCTGTTAGGTGTCTTGTGTCCAAATTTGGTGTCAATTCCCCCAGTGGTTTTTGAGTTCTGTGAATATCACAAACAAACAGTACATTTTTATTTATATAGATTTGACCCTGCCCAGTGTAATTCCTTTTGTGTTTTTAATGTTTGATTTTATATTGCTGCGTCGTCCATTATATTGGTTTTGCATTTTATGCATTTTATTTTCTGTTTTTGCCGTGCTGTTGTGTAATATTGTGTTTGTCGTACTGTTGGGCGTGGCCTAATGTAAGCCACCCCGAATCCCCTTGGGGGAGATGGAGAGGGGTATAAATAAAGTATTATTATTATTATTATTATTATTATTATTATTAAGGGGTTGCGGCATTAGGAAGGTTCAGAACCACTGACATAGAGGAAAAAGGGGTAGGGATATGGGGTGAGGGGGTAGAGGGGGGGAAAAGAGGGAAAAGGTGAAAAGAATAATAACCTTATAAAGAGATGAATAGATAATATAGAAATGCTCCATTATGTATAACGTGTATACACAGTAGCCATCTATTACCTAATCATAGATTGTGCTATTATGTAATGAATAAATAAATATAATAAAATAATATAATAAAACGACTTCTAAAAAAATTCCATCAGAATTCAGATTGGAAGAAGATTACAAGGATCTGGTCCACACAAGCAGCAGAGATGCTACAGAAGGAATAGAAGAAGAGTTTGAGTCTAGTGGGTGAGTCTGTTTAGTTACTTAGGGTGGTGCATAATTCGGAATAAAAATCGGAAATCGTATCTGATTCGTTAAATTTGTGCCTACTATTTGCAAGGCATGCAAGAAAGGGGGGGGGGGGGTTAGAATTTGAATCACTTACCCATTTTTTCCCCATAAATGTTCTGTTACATTCAGATGTCTCCCAAGGTCAGTCTAATTTTCACTATAACTACTAAGCAACTTTGGCGAAGCCGAGATAACATAAAGTGCTTTTTAAATCTCATTCCTTGCCAGCGCTGCCATAAGGACTAATGACAACCATCTTAATTGTATTGTCGAAGGCTTTCATGGCTGGAATCACTAGGTTCTTGTGGGTTTTTTCGGGCTATAGAGCCATGTTCTAGAGGCATTTCTCCTGACGTTTCGCCTGCATCTATGGCAAGCATCCTCAGGGGTTGAGAAGGTCTGTTGGAAGTAGGAAAAATGGGTTTATATATCTGTGGAATGGCTGGGGTGGGGCAAGGAGCTCTTCCCTGCTGCAGTTAGGTGTGAATGTTTAGCTGATCACCTTCATTAGCATTTGAAGGCCTGCCTGAGCCTGGGAAAATCTGTTGCTGGGAGGTGTTAATCTGTGCCTGGTTTTTTCCTCTCTGTTGTTTAGCTGTTATAATTTTAGAGTTTTTTAATACTGGTAGCCAGATTTTGTTCATTTTCATGGTCTCTTCCTTTCTGTTGAAATTGTCCACATGCTTGTGGATTTCAATGGCTTCTCTGTGTAGACTGACATGGTGGTTGTTGGTGTGGTCCAGCATTTCTGTGTTCTCAAATAATATGCTGTGTCCAGGTTGGTTCATCAGGTGCTCTGCTATGGCTGACTTCTCTGGTTGAAGTAGTCTGCAGTGCCTTTCATGTTCCTTGATGCGTGTCTGGGCGCTGCGTTTGGTGGTCCCTATGTAGACTTGTCCACAGCTGCATGGTACACGGTAGACTCCTGAAGAGGTGAGAGGATCCCTCTTGTCCTTTGCTGAACGTAGCATTTGTTGGATTTTCTTGGTGGGTTTGTAGATTGTTTGTATGTTGTGTTTCCTCATCAGCTTCCCTATGCGATCAGTGGTTCCCTTGATTTATGGCAGGCCAAGCCCCAATGGTAGAGAATTGCAAAACATTTAACACATAACACATTTAACACATAACACATTTAACACATAGTCATACAACATACAACCCTCGGTATAAGAGAAAAAAACACACTGGGATCCACATATTAAAACCTCATTTTTGTTGGCCGGCCAGAATCCTAAAATAACACACAAAACAGCCCTTTTTCTATTCAAAGCAACACAGCTGAGAATTGCACATTTAGAATCAATTGGGGTAAACTGTGGAGGTGACACAGATATTTGACCTGAATGGGATCTGCCAACAGTTTGTTTATTTTAACCTCTTTTATTTTAACCTCTCTTATACCGAGGGTTGTATGTTGTATGACTATGTGTTAAATGTGTTATGTGTTAAATGTGTTATGTGTTAAATGTTTTGATACGGCCAATGGGCCAATCAATAAAACATATCTATCTATCTATCTATCTATCTATCTATCTATCTATCTATCTAACTGATGATTGCTATGGCATGCCTTGCCATCTTATAAAAACATATTATTCGTTTATTTTTATATTATTGTTTTCTTATTTAGTTAAATTTAATAAACTGAATGTGATACAGATGAAACTCAAATGAAACTCAAAGGCCCTGCTGTAAACTAAATTTCCCAGAATGCAAAGCTACTTAGGACTCTCTAACACACTAGTTTATGTAATGCTTAGACCAGGGGTCCTCAAACTTTTTAAACCGGGGGCCAGTTCACTGTCCCTCAGACTGTTGGAGGGCCGGACTATAGGTTTTTTTTTTTAAAAAAATCGATAAAAATTTTCCTCTGCACATTGCAGATATCTTATTTTGCTGTGTTGAAGGGCCCTTAGAGGGAGGGGGTTCTTTCTAGCCCTCTTGAGGCAGTAATTCCAGGAGCGGAGAATGGGAAATCTTCCTCTTTCTACTCTGAACAAAATCTGTCTACCAGTATTAAAAAAACTCTAAAATTATAACTGTAAATAAAGAACAACATAAAACACAGGGGAACTCCAGACAAGAAACAATCAGGGACAGCTAATCACCTCTCAACAAAGGATTCTCCCTAAAAACTGTCAGGCTATGAAATGGTAATCAAGGTGGACAATTGAAACATTCATACCTACCTTCAACAGACAAGAGTTCTTTCTCCCACCCTGGATCTTCCACAATTATCCTAGTTAAAGGTTTTCCTCTGACATGAAGTCCAGTCGTGCCCGACTCTGGGGTGTGTTGCTCATCTGCATTTCTAAGTCGAAGAGCCGGCATTGTCTGTAGACACCTCCAAGGTCATGTGGCCGGCATGACTGCATGGAGCGCCGGGGCAGCCTCCCTTGGCTGGCTCACACTGCCCATCGGGCCCGATGGGCAGCGTGAGCCTGCCAAGGGAGGAGCAGCACCGTGTGGCCTACTCTCGCCCATTGGGCCCGAGGTGCTTTACGCGCGAGTAGGCCACGCGGAGCAGCTGCCCTTGGCTGGCTCACGCTGCCCATCGGGCCTGACGGATAGCGTGAGCCAGCCAAGGGAGGCGCACTGTGTGTGGGGGGGGGGGCACTCCTCCGCCGCGGGCCAGATAAGTGCCCTTGGTAGGCCGGAAGTGGCCCGCGGGCCGTAGTTTGAGGACCCCTGGCTTAGACCATAGATCATCTGGGGAGGCCTTCGTCACAAGCACATTTGACGGGGACGAGAGACAGGGCCTTCTCAGTGGTGGCCCCTCAGCTATGGAACGCCCTACCTAGGGATCTGTTCCCTCTTCCCTCTTGATGTTTCGGAGGCAAGTTAAAACATGGCTATTTGAGCAAGCATTTACAAATACAGAATAGCTAATATAGGAAATCGAATGACCTAACAATGGAACTGGACAATGCTTGATAATAATGAGATGCTGATGAGGTTGTTTTTACTGCTTCGGTGATGTTTTATACTGTTTAATGCTTTTTTATCTATATTATGTTTTATGTATACTGATTTGTTGGAAACCGCCTTGAGTCGCCAATTGACTGAGAAAGGCGGTATACAAATACAGTAAATAAATAAATAAATAAACCTTTCACATACATAACAAACATAAATACACCAATTATTAAATACACTACAAAGCACGCCATTAAAATACTACACAAACTATTAAATTGCTACCTAAACCAATGGCAAAACACACCCTTAAAATCCATATAAATAAAAATGTAATGTTCGTTTGTGGGATTAGCATTACTCAACAACCACTGGACGAATTGACACCAAATTTGGACACAAGACACCTCTCAGGCCAAGGAGTGACCATCACTCATTAAAAACACTGAAAAACACAGCAGAAGAGACTTTAAAAGTCAAAAAACAAAAAAATACATTACAATGCATGTGCAAAACCACATATATATATATACACAGCTTCATTTTACTCTATTATTATACATTTATTATTTTACTGTATAATTGTTGTTATTGCTACATTCATTATTTTACTCTTTTTATTATTGTTGTTATTACGTTTATTATGCTATTATTATTGGAAGGATACGTCAGCACATTTACTTGGAAGAAGGTAAACAACCATTTCATCAGAGTTGGACAGTCTTAAATTACTATTTTTGTAAATATGCAAAAATATATAACCTACATATTCCTCAATTAATGTAATTTAATTGGTATCTATTTTTATTTTGCAATTTACCCGTAGTGGCTGCATTTCCCACCCTCGGCTTATACTCGAGTCAATCCGTTTTCTCAGTTTTTTGTGGTAAAATTAGGTGCCTAATCGGGTCGGCTTATACTCGAGTATATACGGTACATATATGAAACCAGGAGCCCCCGGTGGGCAGTGGGTTAAATCGCTGAGCTGCAGAACTTGCTGACCAAAAGGTTGCAGATTCAAATCCAAGGAGCGGTGTGAGCTCCTGCTGTTGGCCCCAGCTTCTGCCAACCTAGCAGTTTGAAACATGCAAATGCGAGTAGATCAGTAGGTACCGCTCCGACGGGAAGGTAACGGTACTCCATGCTGGCCACATGACCTTGGAGGTGTCTACAGACAACGCCGGCTTACAAATTGAGATGAGCACCATTCCCCAGAGTTGGACACGCCTGGACTTAATGTCAGGGGGAAACCTTACCTTATATGAACCCAAATTCTGTTTTTGTATCTTCCAACCTAAAGAGAATGCTTAGAAGAGCCCACGCGTCAGAGCAACAAAAAGAACATGAGCTATCCAGACAGAGTCCGCATCCTCAACTTGCGCAGAAACCTCAATCAGCTTGATAATCTCGCCAAAGGAAAGGAGATGGCCATTCAAAAAACAAGGTGAGTTTCCACTATTCACTGTATGTGTGTAGACAAGGTGTGTTCAAAAAGTATCCAGCCTTTATTTATAAAATTTGTATTTATTTATTTAGTTAGTTAGTTACGGCATTTATATGCCACCCTTCTCACCCCAAAGGGGATTCAGAGCGGCTTATAAGATATATATATATATATATATATATATATATATATATATTCATTCTGTCGCCACTGGGTCCGAACAAAATGTCTTTATTCTATAGAACGCACACTTTAAACCCAGTGGGAAGCCGGGGTGCCCGAAGAGAGATTGTTAGAGACTTCCAAAAGTAATGGGCTTTAGAGTCTTTAAAAGTACAACAAAGTCTTTATTAAGGAACAAATCTTCAAACAAAACTTCACGGTTTTACTATTCAAGTCTTTAAGAGACTGGCACTAACTTGGTTTGACTGTACTACCTCATAAGGAAGAACTCTTTATAATCCCTCCCAAGCCGTCCATCACCTAGGCCTCGCTGGTCTGGGTAATACTGCCCATCCCCAAATGCGTCTGGAAACCGAGTAACCTACCAGACGAAGCTAGAAGATGTTGGAATTCTGTGGTTCTGCAGTGATGTCCTGTGGAAACTTCAGGGCTGTTTTCCCCTCTGGTGCTGCGAGGCTGAGAGGCTGTGAGCTCTCAGCCAGAGCCTTTGGGACCTTTTATTTCTGTTTCCCTGGAACTGGATGGTCACTGGATGACCCCTGGATGGTCACTGGATGGACCCCGGATCACTTTTGGATGATCCCCGGATGGCTATTTCTATTTCCCCGGAAGGTTTTGAGGAATGAAGCCTTTCCTACGGGACTAGCTGATCTGCGTCCTATAGACTGGCTTCCYTGTSKGACTGAGTGAAAWATGGYCCCTKCCYKCCMAAAGGCAAAAARAGGGGYGGGACCAGRGATYYTARSTATAACTGGCAGGTGGCTTACCCTATAAATGCAAATTATAACAGGAAMCCCCCTGCTGCAAAATCCCAAGCATGGGTTTGCACACAAACATATAAACACAGCAAATAAATCTGGAGCTCCTGGAACAGCTGTTCCAGAACAATATATATATATATATATATATATATATATATATATATATATAATATTATTAGCATAGTACAATACCAGTATTATATATTACTATATTGTACTATACCATTATATTGCAATATTATTAGTAATATTAGATGTAATATAAAATATATACCTATAATAGCATATTATTAGTAGTAGTATATATTGTACTAGCTGTCCCCTGCCACGCGTTGCTGTGGCCCAGTCTGGTGATCTGGAAATGAAGTAATGAGAATGTGTTGGTTTCTAATATATGTAATTTCTTTAATCTTTGTGAGTAAACAGTATTTTTTGTTGTTTCTTTGCCAGTGTTGATGTAGAGAGTGTCTGGTTTGCCCACCCTGGAACATGCAACATATCATTGTCCTTCTTTAGGGGTCCCTTTGAAATCTTTGATACTGCATCTGTCATACATATATGTGTGTGTGTGAATGGCTGGATGGCCCTTTGTCAGGAGGGCTTTGTTTTGTTGCCCTGGTGAAGGGAGCTGGACTGGATGGCCTTAAGGCAGCATTTCTCAACCTGGGAAGTCAATACACCAAGGGGGGGTCACCAGGGGGGTGTCAGAAGGGTCATCGAAGACCACCAGGAAACACAGTATTTCCTGTTGGTCATGGGGGTTTTGTGTGGGATGTTTGACCCAATTCCATCGTTGGTGAGGTTTGGAATCCTCCTTGATTGTAGGTGAACTATAAATCCCAGTAACTACAACTCCCAAATGTCAAGGTCTATTTCCCCCAAACTCCATCTGTGTTTATATTTGGGCATATTGAATATTCATGCCAAATTTGGTCCAGATCCATCATTGTTTGAGTCCACAGTGCTCTCTGGATATAAGTGAACTACAACTCCCAAACTCAAGGTCAATGCCCTCCAAACCTTTCCAGTATTTTCTGTTGGTCATGGGAGTTCTGTGTGCCAAGTTTGGTTCAATTCCATCGTTGGTGGAGTTCAGAATGCTCTTTGATTGTAGGTGAGCTATAAATCCCAGCAACTACAACTCCCAAATGACAAAATCATAATTTTTTGAGTGATGGTCACTCCTTGTGTAGTGAGACATTTTGTTGCCAAATTTGGTGTGATTTCACTCATTGGTTCTTTTGTTTTTAAGCCACTCATTACGACATGAGCATTTTTATATATATAGATTACATTATAATATTATAAATATTATATATATATATATATATATATATATACACACACACACACACACACACACACACACACACAATATATTACATTACATTTTATTGTATTATATTATATTATTAGCATAGCACAGGAGACAAGGTGCTGAAATGCCTCTTTTTGATGGTGTGTAGCTGATCCATCACATTCTGCATGATGACTTCTCTGGACTGAAATCTGATTCTTTTCAGGTGCGTTTTCAGCTTGGGGAAAATCCAGAAGTTGCACGGGAGATTAGGGAGCCTGACGAATTTATTTATTATTTATTTCGGGTATTTTTACCCCAGCTTGTCAATATCTTCTTGAACTATGAAGCCCAGAACTGGACAGAGGTGGTGCAGTGCTCTGATATTCATTTTCCCCCTTCTCCTTTTTCCATTGGGTCTTATAGGTTGCCAGCAGTGGGCAATGGGCAGGGACCAATGTATCTTGAAGTCGGTAGAGAGATCAGAAAAGTTAGCACCGTATAAATATTTAATCATAACAAAAATTCCAAAAGTGTCAAACGATGAAGTGGGGATGAGATTAGCCAAACATGAAAACACAAATCAGCTTCAAAACCCATTGTATGCTTCTCTTCAGGGAGGAACTGGATGCCTGCCACGACCGGATTGAGAAGCTGACAAATCAACAAAGGAACGTGGAGAGAGAAATTGAGAACGAGAAGAAGTCCAACAATACGTATGTAGCAGTACCCAGTACGATGCAAATATAATTATTGAATATATATATATATATAAAAGGCTTGGTTGATCCAGCTCGTTAATTTCTAATCTCGTTAAGAAATCGTAAATAAAATACCTTTAGAAGCGATATCGCCGCGTTTTGGCAACCCGGCAACCCGGAAGTGTTTTTATTTATTTATTTTATTTTATTTTATTTTATTTTATTTTATTTATTTACTGCGCTTATAAACCGCAATTCTCAGCCCTTTAAGGGCGACTCATTGCGGTGTACAACATGAAAAAACAAGTGCAATTTACAAAACATAGTGCAAAATAACCCACAATTCATCCTTATCAGAAAAACATCTTATAAAACATCAACATTACTACAAAATTTCTATTTATTTATTATTTTTATTTAAAAGTTTTGTATACCAACCTCACCTCTTTTGAGGGACTCAGACCGGTTTCCAACCATAATATCACAGACAATCAACATCATAATACAGATTACAGTAAAACATTAAAACAGCAATTACAATCAATAACTATAATGGTCAGTCGTCACACTAAAATCGTTGCTCATCCTCCTCCATCCATATCTCAAGGTGTTGGCTCACTCGTCGAATGCCTGTCTCCATAACCAAGTCTTCACTTGTTTCCTAAATGTCAGGATAGACGGGGCGGTTCTGATCTCCAGTGGGAGAGAGTTCCAGAGTCGCGGGGCCACCACCGAGAAGGCTCTGTCCCTCGTCCCCACCAGACGCGCTTGCGAGGCTGGTGGGACCGAGAGCAGGGCCTCTCCAGACGATCTTAATAATCTTGATGGTTCATAGGGGAGAATACGTTCGGAGAGGTAAACAGGGTTCGGAGAGGTAAACAAAGGAAGCGATTCATATTTCCTGGTATTTCCCATCTTTTTTTAAAGAAAATTTCGGAAATAATTTAAAAATTGAACCGCCAGTGCCCCCTATATACAAAACGAGTTTAGTACCATTTTTTTTCTTGATCAACCAAGCCTAATATATTCATCAATTAACAATATAAATAACTTATTTGCATAGCACACACACATATATGAGACCCAAGTCTAAACACGAAATTCGCTGATGTTTAATTTACACCTATACACAGCCTGGAGGTAATGTTATACAATGTTTTCAAGAATTGTGTGCATAGAATCATCAGAAAGCAAAAGATCTTACCTACCTGTGTTTGACAACTTTGGGATTTTGGACTTCTGGATAAGGGATGTGTGACGATGTGTAACTTTTATTCTTATGGTTATGTGTTGTTTAAACAGTAGCTAATAAATGGTAAGTATGTAGGATTATATTTTGTTAGAGATAGTGGCTGGTTTGGCTTGAGCAGAGTTGCCATAGCTTCACGGGGCCGCTGTTTGAAAGTGGCAGTCTGTGACCGGTAGAGTTACAGGGAAGACTGATTTCTGTAGTGGGAGAAACAGGGAACTAGTCTGTGACCAAAGAGTTACAGGAGAAGCTAGTTGATCCTGTGGTGTGTGGAAAACCATCAGGAAACTATAGTTAGAGAACTATAGGGAAGACTGGTTCTTTAATATTAAGAATCAGGGTTTGGCTGGGAGCCAATTCTGTTAAATAAGCCTTTTAGCTTATTTGTTTTATTAGGACAGTTGTCCAGGAAAGATACATCTGCTTATAGAAACCTCTTAAAGTCTGTACCTAAAGTTACTCGTGAAACCTTACTAATGTAACCTATCAAGATTTGTGCCTCTTGCGAAGAAACAATCGAATATCTTATACCTTGCTTGTTCCAATAAAATTGTTACTGTTCTCCTCAAGCCTTGCCTGATACACTTTCTCCTAAGTCAAATAGCCTGCATAAGTAGAAAAACCAAACCAGGGACATTAAACACTACGCTATCAAATAAATAAATACTTCTGTAACTAATAGTCCCTTTATAAACCAGCTCCTAAGTTGATGCTGAGAATTACAGGGCTTCCTCACAAATTTGGTGGCAGTAATTTTACCCTCCTTCACAGATGGTCAACCTGTATTTACCTTCCCCTATTTCCTTTTCCACCTTCGAATCTTGCAACTGGTAGCTGAATTGTGTTATCTTCCCTAGGCACGCATTGGTGCTTATTGTGCTTGGTGGTGCTATCTATCACCTGCCTCTTTGAGTCTCATTGTTAATTGATGAATCAGTGATACATAAAATTTGGTTATCTCCAAAGACTATGACTGGCCACACAGGACATTAACATTGAGTTCTATGCTAGGAAACCCGTGGTGTACATGTTACTGAGATTATCTCCCCTGTTCATGCACAGTTGGATGCAGAGTTATATGTGGTCAACACTTTTGGAAAAGGATGGTCATTTTTATGCATCTTTATAGGATTCTCAAAGGGCAGGAATAACAATGTTTGTGAGTCCCTCCTGCCTTTCTCCACACTGTCTCATTTGCCGCATTTTCACAGCGTGTTGTGCTACAAGCCAGTGCTTTTTTCTTTCCTTTTCTACTTAGAAACCTGCTACTATATTTGGAATACTTATCTGCTATAAATATGTAGCTGTTCATGCCCTAAAATGAAAGTGACATAGATTTTGCTTGCATTCTTAGTGTTTTGTGGCTTTTCCTGACAATTACTGTCTGTGTTCTTTGGTCTTTTACAATACATGCAAAGTGTGCTGGCTCCTCGTTTTGTAAAATGGAAGGCCTTTTGATTTACTTTTTCCAGATTCATTTCCTTTGAAAAGTGTTGGCAATTTGTGCATGTCGGGGGCTGACAGCAGTAGCCCAGCGTGATGCAGCGGCTTGAGCGTTGGGCTATGACCCTGAAGAACTGAGTTCAAAGGAGATTCCATCTGAACATGAGGAAGAATTTCCTGACTATGAGAGCCGTTCAGCAGTGGAACTCTCTGCCCCAGAGTGTGGTGGAGGCTCCTTCTTTGGAGGCTTTGAAACAGAGGCTGGATGGCCATCTGTCAGGGGTGCTTTGAATGCAATATTCCTGCTTCTTGGCAGAATGGGGTTGGACTGGATGATGGCCCAGGAGGTCTCTTCCAACTCTTGGATTCTAGGATTCTATGACTGTGTGGGACTGTCATGCCAGTAAGGTAATGCTCAAAATCCTGCAAGGAAGACTCCAGCAAGACATGAAGAGAGAGTTGCCAGATGGACAAGCTGGGTTTAGAAAAGGCAGAGGAACCAGAGACCAAATTGCCGGCATCCGGATGCTGGAGAATGGAGAAAGGGTTCTGTTTTATTTCTGTTTTATTGACTTTTCCAGAGCCTTTTGACCGTGTGGATCATAATAAATTGTGGCACATTCTTGGTGGTCTGGGCATACCAAATCACCTTGTCTCTCTCCTGAGGAATCTGTCTAAGGACCAAGTAGCAACAGACAGAACTGACCACGGAACAACAGACTGGTTCAAGATTGGGAAGGGCGTACGGCAGGGTTGTCTACTCTCACCCAACCTTTTCAACTTGTATGCAGAACACATCATGCGAGGATGTGCGGGGCTTGAGGAATGCAAGGCTGGGGTGAAAATTGCTGGAGGAAACATTGACAACCTTAGATATGCAGATGACAACACTCTGATGGCCGAAAGCGAGGAGGAGCTGAGGAGCCTTCTAATCAAGGTGAAAGAAGAAAGTGCAAAATCTGGGTTGCAGCTAAACATCAAAAAAACCAAGATTATGGCAACAAGAATGACTAACAACTGGGAAATAGAGGGAGAAAACATGGAGGCCGTGATAGACTTTGTATTTCTAGGTGCAAAGATGAGTGCAGATGCAGACTGTGGCCAGGAAATCAGGAGACGCTTCCTTCTTGGGAGGAGAGCAAGGTCCAGTCTTGATAAAATAGTGAAGAGTAGAGACATCACACTGGCAACAAAGATCCGCATAGTTAAAGCCGTGGTATTCCCTGTAGTAACCTACGGATGTGAGAGCTGGACCTTAGGGAAGGCTGAGCAAAGGAAGAGAGATGCTTTTGAGCTGTGGTGTTGGAGGAAAGTGCTGAGAGTGCCTTGGACCGCCAGAAGATCCAACCAGTCCATCCTCCAGGAAATAAAGAAGGAGATGAGAGGCCAAGATGAAGTCCTTTGGCCACATCATGAGAAGACAGGAAGGCTTGGAGAAGACAATGCTGGGGAAAATGGAAGGAAAAAGGAAGAGGGGCCGACCAAGGATACGAGATAGAGGGATGGTATCCTTGAATGGACTGGCTTGACCTTGAAGGAGCTGGGGGTGGTGATGGCCAACAGGGAGCTCTGGCGGGGGCTGGTCCATGAGGTCACGAAGAGTCGGAAATGACTGAACAAATGAACAACAACAACAGATTGTTATTATTATTAGTTATTAACTGTGGTGTTGGAGGAAGGTTCTGAGAGTGCCTTGGACCACCAGAAGATCCAACCAGTCCATACTTCAGGAAAGAAAGCCTGCCTGCTCAGTGGAGGGAAGGATAGTAGAGGCCAAGGTGAAGTCCTTTGGCCACATCATGAGAAGAAAGGAAAGCTTGGAGAAGGGAATGATGCTGGGGAAAATGGAAGGAAAAAGGAAGAGGGGCCGACCAAGTTCAAGGTGGATGGATGGGATCCTTGAAGTGACTGGATTGACTTTGAAGGAGCTGGGATGGCCATGGCCAACAGGGAGCTCTGGCGGGGGCTGGTCCATGAGGTCACGAAGAGTCGGAAATGACTGAACAAATGAACAACAACAACAGATTGTTATTATTATTAGTTATTAACTGTGGTGTTGGAGGAATGTTCTGAGAGTGCCTTGGACCACCAGAAGATCCAACCAGTCCATACTTCAGGAAAGAAAGTCCGCCTGCTCACTGGAGGGAAGGATAGTAGAGGCCAAGGTGAAGTCCTTTGGCCACATCATGAGAAGAAAGGAAAGCTTAGAGAAGACAATGATGCTGGGGAAAATGGAAGGAAAAAGGAAGAGGACAAAAGGAAGAGGGGCCGACCAAGGGCAAAATGGATGGATGGCATCCTTGAAGTGACTGGATTGACTTTGAAGGAGCTGGGGTGGCCATGGCCAACAGGGAGCTCTGGCGTGGACAGGTCCATGAGGTCAGAAAGATTCGGAAACGACTGAACGAAGGAACAACAACAACAGCCATAGCTTGGAAACAACTTGAATAAAACGAAGCATACAAGAAGCTTGGCCTCACATTGAACATTGAGAAAACCAAAGTGTCCTTCCAGCAGTCACCTGCCAATCCCTCTGCCAATGCCAGAAATACAGCTTGATGGTGCAACATTAGAAAATGTTCACCATTTCTGCTACCTTGGCAGCCACATCTCCACAAAAGTCCACACTGAGACTGAAATGAGCTCTGCAAGTGCAGCATTTTTCCGAATGAAGCAGAGAGTGTTTGCGGATCGGGACACCCATAGGGAGACCAAGGGGCTTGACTGAACGAAGAAACAACAATAATGTTGCCTGACTTTTGCCGACCCGAGTGCTGTTGAGATGGGAGGGTGAGTGTGTAAGGTTGTGGTAAAGATCCTTCCTTCACAAGCGCTCCTCTTTGCTGTTGCTGCTGTGTTTGTGTTTTACATCGGACAGATGTGCAGAGTTGCTGTTTCTCCTGCTTCCTGCCACGCATCACTTGCTTAGATAGTTAAGAGGATGAAGAGCAAAGAGAATTGCTTCCAGGCACTGGAGCGTGGAACACTGTCGTTGCCTAATGATGTGGTCCTCTCCCATTTTGCCCACATTTCACAACCATCCTGATCTATTGATGAGTAGGGTTAAATATAAAAGTAGTGTTGTTGTAGGTTTTTCATGGCCATGTTCTAGAGGCATTTTCTCCTGACGTTTCGCCTGCATCTATGGCAAGCATCCTCAGAGGTAGTGAGGTCTGTTGGAAGTAGGAAAATGGGTTTATATATCTGTGGAATGACCAGGGTGGGACAAAGGACTCTTGTCTGTTGGAGCTGGGTGTGAATGTTTCAACTGACCACCTTGATTAGCATTTGATGGCCTGGCAGTGCTTGGGGGAATCTTTTGTTGAGAAGTGATTAGATGTCCCTGATTGGAACTCTCTCCCTAAGGACATTAGGCAGGCCCCGTCGCTAGCAATCTTTAGGAGGAGCTTGAAAACACGGATGTTCCAGTGTGCCTTTCCAGAATAAGGAAACTCCTAGCATTACATCCCAACACACTTTATTCAGAGATCTAGGATATCTGCATGCCCACCCCCCTTCAAACACCCCACCTGTCAGGCTCAGCCCTTTTTAATTTTAATTTTAATTATTACATTTGGCCCGGCCATTGTTTTTAACTACGTCATTATGTGTTGTTGATGTTATTGCTTGTTTTTGCTTTATTTTTCTGTATTGTTGTTGTTGTTGTTGTTTTATTGTTGTTTTTGGGCTCGGCCTCGTGAGATGGTAGTGGGGTACAAATAAAGGATTATTATTATTATTATTATTATTATTATTATTATTATTATTATTATTATTGTTTACCCTCATTGAAATGCACAAGCCATTGAAATCCACAAGCATGTGTACAGTGTCAACAGAAAGGAGGAAACCATGAACATGAACAAATTCTGGCTACCAGTATTAAAAAACTCTAAAATTAAAACAGCAAAACAACAGAGAGGAAACAATCAGGGACATCTAATCACTTCTCAACAAAAGATTCCCCCAGGCACTGCCAGGCCATCAAATGTTAATCAAGGTGGTCAATTGAAACATTCCCACCTAGCTCCAGCAGACAAGAGTCCTTTCTCCCACCCTGGTCATTCCACAGATATATAAACCCTTTTTCCTAGTTCCAACAGACCTCACTACCTCTGAGGATGCTTGCCATAGATGCAGGCGAAACATCAGGAGAGAATGCCTCTAGAACAGTGTTTCTCAACCTGGGGTTCGGGACTCCTGAGGGGGTCGTGAGAGGGTGTCAAAGGGGTCGCCAGAGACCATCAGAAAACATAGTATTTTCTGTTGGTCATTGGGATTCTGTGTGAGAAGTTTGACCCAATTCTATTGTTGGTCGAGTTCAGAATGCTCTTTGATTGTAGGTGAACTATAAATCCCAGCAACTACAACTCCCAAATGTCAAGGTCTATTTACCCCAGACTCCACCAGTGTTCACATTTGGGCATAATGAGTATTCGTGCCAAGTTTGGTCCAGATCCATCATTGCATGAATCCACAGCACTCCTCTGGATACAGGTGAACTACAACTCCCAAACTCAAGGTCAGTGCCCACCAAACCCTTCCAGTATTTTCTCATGTTCATGGGAGTTCTGTGTGCCAAGTTTGGTTTAAATCCATCGTTGGTGGAGTTCAGAATGCTTTTTGATTATAGGTGAACTATAAATCCCAGCAACTACAACTCCCAAATTACAAAATCAATCCTCCCCCCGACCCCACTAGCATTCACATTTGGGCATATTGGGTATTTGTGCTCAATTTATTCCAGTGAATGAAAATCCATCCTGCATATCGGATATTTACATTACGATTTATAACAGTATTAAAATGACAGGTATCAAGTAGCAACGAAAACAATATTATGGTTGGGGGTCACGGCATTAGCAAGGTTGAGAACCACTGCTCTAGAACATGGCCATATAGCCTGAAAAAACCCTACAACAACCCACCGTGATAGATTTATGAGTTAAATATAAAAGTAGTATTTTGTTGTCGTGTCGGCTATTCCTTTTTTCAAATCGGAAGAAGCTGTAACGTCTGCAAAAACCCTCCTGCTCCTCTTATTGCCAGTTTACGGATGTAGAGGTTTCTAAAGAGAATGAAAGGGGAATGAGACACTTTAGGAACGTAATTGAAAGACATGCCATTGTTATAACCCAGCAGAAGTTCTTCAAAAGCCCCGACGTCCCCCTTGAGGCACCATAATTGTTCCTTTTTTTATGTGCCAGGTCTTAACACTCATTATTTCCCATTTTCTTTTCTTTCCCTCTCCCACTCTGCTTTTAATGTAACAGGGCCGCTGTGTTCCGACTACAGGCGATGCATCAGCGCTTGTGTGCCGAACTGGGAAATGAAAAGGACCTCGAGTCAAAAATTGCTGCGATGCTGAATGGAAATGTGTAAGCTTAAAGAGCATGGAAGAGATGCCGAAACCATTGATCGTTAAGCTTTTCTGTTAATGCAACATTGCAATTTAGCCCTGAGTCAAGAGCAGCCTACTTAAAAGTTTTCTGGTTTTTTTCTCCAAGAATTAAGCAACTAATATGCAAATAGAGGGCTGCGTCTCCCCACGCACACGTCCCACAAAAAGTGCCCAAACACTCTCTAGGGCACATGGGAATTTCCACCATTTTGTTAAATCCCCCTGGATCATTTTGGCCCAAGGAGAGTGTTCTGTCGCCGCTGGGCCTGTCGTTAGTTGACTTTTAAAGATAGGATGTGTAATCTTTGCCCAGCGGGAAGCCAGGGGCCTAAGGAGAAGTTCTCAGAGGTTTCCACTACAAAGAATCTTCAGATGGCTTGAGAAGTACAACAAAGTCTTTTATTAATGAACAATCAAACAGGAACTTCTCTTATCTTTAGCAAAGTAAAGCAAATAATTCCAAGCTTCTAGGGAACTGGTGAATTCCTAAACTTGCCCACAAAGGACAGGCAACTATCTTCAGTAACTTCTTCTTTAAAGGAAAAACCCCTTTTTAACTTCTCCCAGGCTGACTGAAATCCAACCCTCACTGGTCTGGGCTCCGCTACCGGGCCGAACTGCTTCTCGGACGCCGAGTGGACCTACCAGCAAGGCAGTGGATATTCTCCAGCTGGAGTTCTTTAGTCTTTAGGGCTGTTTCCTGGAAATTCCCAAAGCTGTGGGAATGCTTCCCTGGAGTTCTTAGGAGACTCTTAAAGCTGTTCTCCTCTGGATTTCTTTCCCTTCTGTTTCTGTTGGAATTTCTGTGACCCTGGAAATTCTTAAAGCTCGAAGCCTTTGTACAGGGGAAGTTACACACATCCTATACAAAGGTTAACCTGGCTGAGATTAACTAACAAAATGGCTCACTTCCCTTCCAAAGCCCAAAAAGGGGGCGGGACTAGGGAACCTAATGATAATTGACAGGTGACCTGCCCTGTAACTGCAAACTTTAACAGGAAGCCACCCTTCTGCAAAATCCCAAGCCTTGGGCTGCAAACACACACTTGATACAAAGCAAATAAAGTGGGAGCTTCTGGTACAGCTGTACCTGCACAGAGAGTTTTTTAAAAAAACAACATGAAGTAAATATGGGTAGCTTACCTTTAACTGTAGTTTCCTGAGTGGTCACCTGTGAATTCGCACATCCCCGCCCATCCTCCCCGCTGTTTGTCATGCCTCGGTTTTTCTGACTGCTTCCGCGGCGGAAGCGGTTCCATGACTGCTGCATAAGCGGCGGATGAAAAGAACTGAGGCAGTGGCTCCACCCACCTGCTATTTATACTTGCATAGGGAGAGTGGGCGGGGCCAACCACCAAAGTTTTTCAAATATATCTAGAAGGTTCCGAAACTGTCTGCTCAGGCGCAGAAACTACTATATGTGCGATTCACAGTTGACCACGATGGGGAAACAGAAGTGACTTCCAGTTCACTTCTTACTGCTTTAAAGGCTTGTCCTGGTTCCAAATTGGTCCTCTCCTGTGGCAAAAATGTCCCGGTGACATGTGGTTCGGGCCCCATCTACACTGTCGCCTGCAACTATGGCAAGCATCCTCAGAGGTAATAAGGACTACCTCTGAGGATGCTTGCCATAGATGCAGGCAAAACGTCAGGAGAGAATGCCTCTAGACCATGGCCATATAGCCCGAAAGAACCGACAACAACCCAGTGATTTCGGCCATGAAAGCCTTCGACAACACAATAATAATAATCTTTATTTATACCCCGCCACCATCTCCACAAATGGGGACTCAGAGCGGCTTACATGAGGCCAAGCCCAAATAACAATTACAATAAAGAAAAACCAAAACGCAAACCGAAAACACGAGCAATAAACAATAACGTCATAGTTACATCAAATGTATGAATACATAACAGTAAACACAGGCACAGTAGCAATGATTATGATTAAAAGACAAACTAATTTAAACTAATTAAAATACAAAGTATCCCTTCTTCCCCAAAAGAGGAAACTGGTCTTTCAGAAATATTTCTCTCAAGTCAGGGTACCTTTGAGCCCCATCAAAGTGAACCCAAGAGGAAGGTCTTCTGGAAAGGCTCCGGCAGTTAATTAACCAGAGAGCAGTTTTCCCTGTGACACAATTATATAAGAAGGTCAAAAAAGGGGGCTTCTCTAATACTTTTTAGTCGCATAAATAGTAGCCAATGTATTTTTAGAATGTTGTCCTCAGTTGGCCCTGGTTCTCGTGGACCTATTATCCCCGGTCCATGTCTGTATGTGGACCTCTTCTGTAGTCCTGGGATTTTTTGCAAGTCAGTAAAATCTGTGATTTAGTCTGGAAGCGCCCTGACTCTCAACCAATTCAACATAGTTGTGGCAGCCACAAAAACGAAGCTTCTGGAGTATCACAACTACTTTCAAAGTAGTTATCGCACAATGATACAGGAAATAATATTTCCAAACCAGGAACAGGAACTTTTTGTTACATAGTATAGTAATAAGTAAGCAAAGGTCTTACTTCTTGCTACACTATGTAACAAAATTACTACACTATGTAACAAGCTTGTTTTGTTGTTGTAGGAGCACTGCAAGAGTAAGCATCCAATAAATGAGTTTTGTTTCGTCGTGTTGATGTAATGTCTGGTTTTGTTTATATCCCCCAACGTTAAATATATATTGATAACTAGCCATCCCCTGCCACGCGTTGCTGTGGCCCACATGGGGGTTCTGTGTGGGAGGTTTGGCCCAATTCTCTCGTTGGTGGGGTTCAGAATGCTCTGTGATTGTAGGTGAACTATAAATCCCAGCAGCTACAACTCCCAAATGTCAAGGTTCTATTTTCTCCAAACTCCACCAGTGTTTATATTTGGGCATATTGAGTATTCTTGTAGAGTTTGGTCCAGGTCCATCATTGTTTGACTCCACAGTGATCTTTCGATGTCAGTGAACTACAACTCCAAAACCAAAGGACACTGCCCACCAAACCCTTCCAATATTTTCTGTTGGTCATGGGAGAACTGTGTGCCAAATTTGGTTCAATTCCATCCTTGGTGGGGTTCAGAATGCTCTTTGATTATAAGTGAATCCCAGCAACTACAACTCCCAAATGACTATATATATATATATATATATATTTAGTGAAGGACATACATTGGACTGTTAGGTGTCTTGTGTCCAAATTTGGTGTCAATTCCCCCAGTGGTTTTTGAGTTCTGATGGTAGCACGAACTAACATTACATTTTTATTTATATAGATGTCACATTGCAACTTGTGATGGGAAATTAAATAGGGCGGCCATTTTTATGAGTATATTCCTTTGATGAGCTCATTGTTCCAACTGTTTAGAAGCCCTAAGTTTGTCGGTCTTCACTAACGGCCTCTGTTGCATCTTTGCAAGGCTCGAGATGTGGAAGGTTGAGATTGAACAAGGAAATTTCTCAGAGCTCCGCAAGCAAATCAAATGGGACGAAGAGGAGCTTGACCAGCAGCGCCAGGGCCAAGCAGAAGAACGACTGCGGAAGCAGAAGAAGAAGGCTTGGGTGCTGAGGCACAGGTGGCAAGCCACAGAGAGGTAAGTTGAGCATGGAGGCTTGTAATAGAGGAGCCGAATTTTGGTAAGACTGAGGCCATATTGGCAGATGGATCATACATCTAACTATCAGGTTGTAGACATTTATTTATTTATTTATTTGCAACATTTATATTCCGCTCCATGCAGTCATGCTGGTCACATGACCTTGGAGGTGTCTACGGACAACGCTGGCTCTTCGGCTTAGAAATGGAGATGAGCGCCACATCCCAGAGTCAGACATGACTGGACTTAATGTCAGGGGACTACCTTTACCTTTACCTTATATTCCGCCCTTCTCCTCACCCCACAGGGGACTCAGTGTACACATATATGACAAACATTCAATGGCAATTTTTGACATACAAACATATACAGACATAGACAGAGGCTATTCAACTTTTTCTGGCTGTCAGGGGAGCTGTCGCTTTCCTCGTCCATCTGCGACGCTGATGAAGCACTTCCGCATTCCCCGCATGCTTCCCCGCTGGAGTCTTTTTTTATGGCCTCATAAATCAGTTAATTTAGCCTCCCCACACTTTAAGGTGGTACCTAATTTTCCTACTTGACAGATGCAACTGTTCGGGTTGCAAAGGTCGACAACAGGCTACACACAATTGGTTGGAAGCCCACTCCAACCCGGGCTGGCTTCGAACTCATGAGCTTTTGGTCAGAGTGATCTTAATGCAGCTGACACTCAGCCAGCTGCGCCACAATCCCGGTGCATGGGGCACTAATGATCTCAGACCAAGTACAAAGGCATTCTGCTTCTACGGTGTTGTATTGCCAGAGGTGGCAGCTCTTGGCATGCTCTGAGGTTCAGGCTTGCCTTATCCATGGAATTTTGATAGCGTACAAAACAGGATTAACCAAAAAATTAACGAGGTGTCGTCGAAGGCTTTCATGGCCAGAATCACTGGGTTGCTGTGAGTTTTCTGGGCTGCATGGCCATGTTCCAGAAGCATTCCCTCCTGACTTTTTGCCCACATCTATGGCAGGCATCCTCAGAGGTTATTTATTTATTTGTCGTGTCAGATCAACCAGTCAATTATATTACATTTTTAACAGAACAAAGCAAACAAACAGACAAAACACAAAATTTGTGAGTTTGGTAGTTGGTTAAATGTCCTTTGAACAGTACCTGGCCACTTGGAGTGCCTCTGGTGTTGCTGCAAGGAGGTCCTCCATTGTGCATGTGGCAGGGCTCAGGGTGCATTGCAGCAGGTGGTCAGTGGTTGGCTCTTCTCCGCACTCGAATGTCGAGGATTCCACTTTGCGGCCCCCTTTCCGAATGTTGGCTCTGCATCTCGTGGTGCCAGAGCGCAGTCTGTTCAGCACCTTCCAAGTCACCCAGTCTTCTGTGTGCCCAGGGGGGAGTCTCTCATTTGGTATCAGCCATTGGTTGGGGTTCTGGGTTTGAGCCTGCCACTTTTGGACTCTCACTTGCTGAGCTGTTCCGGTGAGTGTCTCTGTAGATCTTAGAAAACTATTTCTTGATTTAAGTCGTTGACATGCTGGCTGATACCCAAACAGGGGATGAGCTGGAGATGTCTCTGCCTTGGTCCTTTCACTATTGGCTGCCACTTCCCGGCGGATGTCAGGTGGTGCAATACCGGCTAAGCAGTGTAATTTCTCCAGTGGTGTCAGGCACAGACACCCCGTGATAATGCGACATGTCTCATTAAGAGCCACATCCACTGTTTTCGTGTGGTGAGATGTGTTCCACACTGGAGGTTGCCTGCCATAGGTATGAGCAAAATGTCAAGAGAGAATGCTCCAAGGCCACATGGGAAGCCTCCTGTGTTGACATATGACGGTGGAATCAGGTGTCCAACACGGATGTGTTATTGCCCCAACTTTTCCCAGTGATTCCGGCTATGAAAGCCTTCGACAACACATTAAATTCATGTGCCATCTAGGGCCTATGAAAACCTTAATGTGGCCCTATCAAACACTCAAGATATTCAGATTATGGTTGCTTTAAATAATTGGTCCTTAGTCCCCTACTGAGATATTGGTCTTGATTGATGTTATAATTGCACTTAGCCTTTATTCTTCTTACTACAAAATGAAAACCAACCCATTTTTTTTCTCTCTACAGAAAAATAGAGGAAGCTAAGGAGTTTAATGAGCAAAGGTTTGCCAGAGCTTTGGAAGATGCGCAGAAGAATCACGAAAAGGCAGCCAAGTTTCTCAAGGAGAGTCTAGGAAGGTTGGCCATTTATTCTTCTCCTGTAAACATTAAATAACCAACTGAAATCAGTTCTTCTAGATGGTTCCGCGTCCATTCTTCCCTGGGGTTTGGAATTTCTGGAAGAGATGGCAAGCAGTTTAGTTGGAATCATAGAATCGTAGAATAATAGACTTGGAAGGGACTACATGGGCCATTTTGTCCAATAATAATAATAATAATAATAATAATATATTAATATTGTTAATACTATAATATTATAACATAATATAATATAACTAATAATAATAATAATAATAATAATAATAATAATAATAATAGCAATCTCAGGTGATAGCAGGATTGAAGAGAAAGAACTGGAAAAGTTGACATGATATGAGGATTTAACGATCAAACTGCAAAGACTCCGGCACAAGCCAATCAAGGGGGTACCAGTGGTGATCGGCACACTGGGTGCAATGCCTAAAGACCTTGGCCAACAATTAAACACAATCACAAAGTAACAATGAATTTCCTTGTAGCATATACGAGGGTTGAATGAAAAGTAATGCCTCCACCTTCCTAACTCCTCAACAGCTGGCAGTACTGGTATGTGGCATGTACTGGCTCGTTCAGTAGACTCTCTACAGTCCTGTTTTGGCAGTAAGCCTTAGCATTGAACGGTTGTGTTGTTAAAGTGCGAAGTATGGAACCCTGCACAGACGGTTGGTCGATGCAACTTAAGCAATGTATGCGGCAGGTACTGGCTTGTTCAGTAGACTCTCCTCTACAGTTCCATTTTGGCGGGAAGCCTTAGCATTGAATGGCTGTGTTGTTATAGTGAAAAGTAATGCCTCCACCTTCGTAACTCCTCAACAGATGGCAGTACTGGTATGTGGCAGGTACTGCCTTGTTCAGTAGACTCCCCTCTACAGTTCCATTTTGGCGGGAAGCCTTACCATCAAACGGTTGTGTTGTTAAAGTGCAAAGTGTGGAACCCTGCGCAGACGGTCAGTCAATGCGACTTAAGCAACGTGCAGTCATTGTATTCTTGAGAGCAGAAGGTGTCACCCCAAAGGAGATTCATCAAAGAATGCAAGCTGTTTATGGGGATTGTGTTGATGTGAGTACTATGCGTCGTTGGGCGAGAAAGTTTAAAGATGTTAAGGTGACACCTTCTGCTGTCAAGAATTCAATGTCTGCACGTTGCTTAAGTCGCATTGATTGACCGTCTGTGCAGGGTTCCATATTTTGCATTTTAACAACACAACCGTTCAATGCCAAGGCTTCCTGCCAAAATGGAACTGTAGAGGAGAGTGTACTGAACAAGCCAGTACCTGCCGCATACCAGTACTGCCATCTGTTGAGGAGTTACGAAGGGGGAGGCATTACTTTTCACTTTAACAACACAACTGTTCAATGCTAAGGCTTCCCGCCAAAATGGAACTGTAGAGGAGAGTCTACTGAACAAGCCAGTACCTGCCATACCAGTACTGCCATCTGTTGAGGAGTTACGAAGGTGGAGGCATTACTTTTCACTTTAACAACACAACCGTTCAATGCTAAGGTTTCCTGCCAAAATGGGACTGTAGAGGAGAGTGTACTGAACGAGCTAGTACCTGCCGCATACCAGTACTGCCATCTGTTGAGGAGTTACGAAGGTGGAGGCATTACTTTTCACTTTAACAACACAACGTTCAATGCTAAGGCTTCCTGCCAAAATGGAACTGTAGAGGAGAGTCTACTGAACAAGCCAGTACCTGCCGCATACCAGTACTGCCATCTGTTGAGGAGTTACGAAGGTGGAGGCATTACTTTTTCTGCTAAGGCTTCCTGCCAAAATGGAACTGTAGAGGAGAGTCTACTGAACAAGCCAGTACCTGCTGCATACCAGTACTGCCATCTGTTGAGGAGTTACGAAGGTGGAGGCATTACTTTTCATTCAACCCTCATAATATTTGGTTCCCTGGTTTTGAGACAAGCCAAAAGCCTAGTGTGCAGTTTATCTGTTTCTCCGGCTCTAATGTTTACTTCTTCCCTCTCTTCTAATGGTGCCAGGGCTGCATTTAGACCCACTCCTCTTACACCTCTTCTTAATTGTCTCAGGACTGCTTTTTTTAATGCTTTCATTAACTTTGTTTTTCCTTCCCCCTCTTCTTTCTCGCTGCCATGTCTCTCTCATCTCAGAAGCTTTGATCTTTTGCTTTTGAAAGAGAATCTGAGGTTCCTTCTTGCTCGTGTTTTTGTGTTTTCTTACCCTGCGTGTCTTGCATGTGTTGTTTACACCGTCTTATAACCCTTTCGTGTTTTTTGCTTTGGTAATGACCATGATTTTGACTGTTTGCATCTTTTTCTGACAGGATCCACGAGAGGAACGCCAGCGAAGAACAAAAACATCGAGAGTATTTGCAAAGGAGGATGGACACGGTGCTCTCCCTGAAACAAAATATTGCTTCCAACCGGGTACTTGCTTGTTCTGATCACATTCAGGTTCTGCAGTTTCATGAGATGAAGAGAGCAAAGTTGACCGTTCCTATTTTGAACAGGTCTTGTATATGTTCTGACCTGACTGGTATGTTTGCTAAATCTAATGCTTCTTGGAGTTTCTTCCTGGGCATTTCCTAAAAGCCAGGAATCCATCTGCTTCAATGCAGACCGCTGAATTGGTTGACTTTTTCAAGCATCTCATTATTTTGAGATCTTTACTTGCCTTATTTACGGTTGGACAGAATGCAAACTTACTTAGGCGAACCCTCGTTGTCCGAGTAGGATAATCCTCCAGGGTGGGTCCGTAGGTGGCTGTGGAGCCCTCTTCTTGACCTGCATCTTCTCCCGCAGTGAGGGCATCGGTTTCCAGGTGGAAGGCAGTCTCAGTCGGGGTCTTCCTCTTGGCACATTTCTCTCTTTCACCCTCCATTTGTGCCTCTTCAAATTCTGCAGCACTGCTGGTCACAGCTGACCTCCAGCTGGAGCTTCCCACTTCTCAGTGTCTATGCCAGAGTTTTTATGGTTGGATTTGAGCCCATCTTTCAATCTCTTTTCCTGCCCACCAACGTTCCGTTTTCCGTTCTTGAGTTCAGAGTAGAGCAACTGCTTTGGGAGACGGTGGTAGGGCATCCGGACAACATGGCTGGTCGAGCGGAGTTGATGGCGGAGGACCATCGCTTCAGTGCTGGTGGTCTTTGCTTCTTCCAGTACGCTGATGTTTGTCCGCCTGTCTTCCCAAGAGATTGGCAGGATTTTCCAGAGGCAGCGCTGATGGAATCGTTCCAGGAGTTGCATGTGACGTCTGTAGACAGTCCACGTTTCACAGGCATAGAGCAGGGTTTGGAGGACAAAAGCTTTATAGACAAGCACCTTGGTATCCCTATGGATGTCCCGGTCCTCAAACACTCTCTGCTTCATTCGGAAAAATGCTGCGCTCACAGAGCTCAGGCAGTGTTGAACTTCGGTGTCAATGTTGACTTTGGTGGAGAGGTGGCTGCCAAGGGAGCGGAAATGCTCAACATTTTCTAATGTTGCACCATTAAGCTGTATTTCTGGCATTGGAGAGGGATTGGATGGTGACTGCTGGAAGAGCACTTTGGTTTTCTCGATGTTCAATGAGAGGCTGAGCTTCTCGTATGCTTCTGCGTATAAGGTGTTTAGAATGGCTTGTAGGTCTTCTTCTGAATGTGCACAGACGACGTTGTCATCAGCATACTGGAGTTCTATAACAGATGTTGTTGTAACCTTGGTTTTGGCTTTCAGTCTGCTAAGGTCAAATAGCTTGCCATCTGTCCGATGGATGATTTCCACTCTGGTGGGAAGCTTCCCATCAACAAGGTGAAGTATCATAGCAATGAAGATGCAATGAAGAATGCAAGCTGGGATCTACTAGCGTTTCTCAACCTGGGGGTTGGGGTCCCTGGCGGTGGGTTGCGAGGGGTTTCAGAGCGGGTCGCCAAAGACCATCAGAAAACACATATTACACTTAGTCCACTGTAAAGCCAAATTCATTATGAAAGCCACCCATCTGAGAAATCTCTTTATCTCACAAAATGGGGCCTCTTATCATGGCAATGAACTTGATTGTGGATATGGTCAGTGGACTACTAAATGAACAGATCTATCTCTCCTTCCTATGAAGCTCTCCTCACAACGACTGAGGGAGTGGAAATCTATCATTTGGTTATGATTGGAGACCATTTACCATTTGCTCTCCTTTTGAGGTTTTGGTTTTGTTGTCGTCTAGGAACATCTCCGAATCGTCCAGGTCCTGGACAAAGTCAACGCCCTTGAAGCCCAAGCCCAAGACGAGAAGGTGAAGGAGGCCATCCAGGCTCAGGGGCACAACGTCACCCGGGAGATTTTCCTCCATAAGCGAGACGTGGAGCTGGAGCATCAGAAGAAGTGAGCTTTTGAATTGTCTCTTACCTTAAACACTGGAATTAATATATGCTAGCCACCCCCTGCCAGGTGTTGCTGTGGCCCAGTCTGGGGATCTCGAAAATAAAGTAATGAGAAAGTGTTGGTTTCTAATATATGCAATGCCTTTATGATTGTGAGTAAACAGTACTTCTTGTTGTTTCTTTGTCAGTGTTGATGAAGAGATTGCCTGGTTTGCCTACTCTGGAACATACTATTGTCCTTCTTTGACACTATATCCCTCTGTGTGTGAATCATATCTTTGTTTACATTTTCTTGCTCTGGTGAAGGGAGTTGGACTGGATGGCCTTAAGTATTTTCTGTTGGTCATGGGGGGGGGGGGGTCTGTGTGGGAAGTTTAGCTCAATTCTATCGCTGGTGAAGTTCAGAATTCTCTTTGATTGTAGGTGAACTATAAATCCCGGTAACTACAACTCCCAAATGTCAAGATTCTAATTCCCACAAGCTCCATCTGTGTTCATATTTTGGGCATGTGGAATATTAGTGCCAAGTTTGGACCAGATTCAACATTGTTTGAATCCGCAGTGTTCTCTGGATGTGGGTGAACTATAATTCCCAAACTCAAGGTCAATACCCACTAAACTCTTCTAGTGTTTCTGTTGGTCATGGGAGTTCTGTGTGCCACGTTTGGTTCAATTCAGTCGTTGATGGAGTTCAGCATTCTCTTTGATTGTAAGTGAACTATAAATCCCGGTAACTACAACTCCCAAATGTCAAGATTCTAATTCCCACAAGCTCCACCTGTGTTCATATTTGGGCATGTGGGATATTAGTGCCAAATTTGGACCAGATTAAACATTGTTTGAATCCGCAGTGTTCTCTGGATGTGGGTGAACTATAATTCCCAAACTCAAGGTCAATACCCACTAAACCCTTCTAGTGTTTCTGTTGGTCACGGGAGTCCTGTGTGCCATGTTTGGTTCAACGCCATCATTGGTGGAGTTCAGAATGCTCTTGGATTGTAGGTGAACTATAAATTCCAGCAACTACAACTCCCAAATGACAAAATCAATTTTTTGAGTGATAAGTCACTCCTTGGGTTAGTAAATATATTGTGGACAAATTTGGTGGCAATTTGTCTAATTGTTTTTGAGTTATGTTAAAAACATAACATTACTTTTTTATTTATATAGATTATATATTAATGGGAAGGTTGGGGTCACATGGAATGGCTGAGATGGAGGCCTTGCATTGTGCCGTGGCTGCGCTCTATTTGTGCGCCGTTGCTTAAATGCAGGGAATTTATGGAACAGCAGAAAGCCAAGAAGATTGAAATTGTGGCTCGGATTTTGAAAGAGGAAGCTCAGCAGGAGAAAGTGAAGAAGCAATCCCACCCGGGGATCCTGAAGGACAAGGAGAAACTCTCCGATGCTATTAAATGGCGCTTGAAAACATGGCGGTACATCAAAGAAACATGTTACGATTCAATGGCATCTTCTACTCTGGTGAGTAGAAGTCTAAGGGACAAATTTGTCGTTCCTGCAATTCTTTGTGTGTGTTAGAATCCTTCATGGTGAAACATCCATCAGGCATGGCAAACTTTCTAACTTTGGGGCTGCACGCTAGCACTCCCTGCTAGGAGGACTGCCTGCCCGGTGATGGAAGGAAGGAAGAGAAGGAGGGAGGGAGGAAAGAGAGAGGGAAAGAGCCGAGGGGCCCCCATAGAGGTCGTGGTGGGAAGGAGGAGATACGGGAGAAGGAGACCTCGAATTCGGCCTAATTCGGACCGCTTATCTAAATTAACTATTCCCAATAGGTCTCC